TCCCCAAATTCACCTTTATTAGGAAAAGCGTCATCCGGATGAACGATGCGTGAACCACTGGGAAAAGATTATGAATTGATTTTTCAAGTCACTTGAATCGCTGCTTGCAGTAGAACATAAGTAAAGCTATATATTCCAACAACCATACGCTTCAACTTTGCACTACAATTTGTAGTATTTTAGAACTAATTAAGTTCACTTTATATCAAAGGATGATAAAGAACCTCTACAAATCCTAAACATCAGAAGCAATCTTAGATGCTCAACTTTTTTTTTTTCTTTTTTCTTGTGAAATGGTTTGGTCTTGAGTTGATTTTTTTTTTTGTTTACTACTTGAGTTGATTTTTTGTTATTTTTCTTTTTCTTTTTAAAAACACCCAAACATTTGATTTAATTATATGAGATGGTTAGCTTTAATGAACTAATTAGGGAATTACACACGAGAAGAAGAGAATCCTTTCTAACGGATAAACACCCAAAAAGTTATTTATTTGGTGATTAATCTCATCTTAGTCAATCTAACTCAGCAGAAACCATATTTCTCCTTCTGTTTATGCTTTTGGCATTGTGATATAAATCCCTTTACAAAACTTGGTCATAAGGTTTAGAATCCAACCGTCTGTTATAAATAGAAAGTTGTTATCGATTTTTTTTTTGTTTAGGTATAATCGACAATCTAATTAAATTTATCTTGTCTAATATAACCTTAAACTTGACTTACTTTTATTCAATAGGATGAATTATGATTTACGAAATTGAATTAGAGTTTAAGAATACACTTAACATGCAAAAGAGGTGAAGGGAATATTCTTTGCAAAAACAATTAACATTAGGACAGTGTTGGGTGAGTACAACCAGTGTTTGGGCTGCCTTGCAAAGGAAGGGGTGACAAGAGAGATCTTATGTGTTGCATAGATATGATCCGAGAAGAAAGTGGAGCAGACTAATGGCTTTAATAGACTCGTCATATGTTGTGGTACTTTATACTGTGTTGATGTGTGGTTATCTTTATCTGTGGATAGGTGTTGTTAAGGTGTATGTAAGACTTACATTAATGGGTATATGTAATGCTTACAACATGGGCAGATTTGGGTTGGTTGCATGTATTAGTGTCTTGTGTGTATATATATTATAGGGAATGCTGTTGTTAATTAAGAGCGATGAGTGATTTCTGAGGGATTGGCAGTGCAAGGCCTGGTTTGTAACAAGGATGGTAATAAGGAGCTGTAACATGTTAGGGGAGAAAATTTTCCCATCTTATCTGCTAATATTAATGAAATCTATTGATTTATCATAAAATGGAAAAAACACCCGCCATGTCTATTTAAACAACTATACCAATTAATTGTATGTTATTTCACTTAATTACTATTTATTATTTTTTTCTTTTTCCTTCAACGTTTTTTTTACCCATTCTTAAATATTGGAGATTTTTCATAAGTCTTCCCAATACTATGATGAGATTTGAAAAGATTTTTTTTCACCTCAAGAATATTCAAAAAAACACACTTATTTCTTGAAAAGGCTCCATCGTTGGATTCATTCATGAAAAAGGTCTTGACTTTAAACTTTATATTTTTTATTTTCAATTTGTATTTTATTTTACAATTTTCTTGTTCTTATTAGTTTCAAAATAATTATCAACTTTATTAAATAAATGAAATCAGTTGTATTGAAAACTCTTCTAAATTATCTCAACGCTTCAGTGAAATTTAGAAATATTTCTCACTTAGAGAATTTTCAAAAAATTTATCTTTACAATTTTTCTAAAAAATCTCAGTGATAGAGATTTTCACTCAAGAGCCAAATTAACATTTTTTATGCATATATGATGCCAAAAATAAAATAAAATGAATGATGTAATTTTTCAATTTTATTAAATAGAACATGAAAAATCATTGTGTCAGAAATATTTCTAAAATTAAGACTAAGAAGGTAGAAAGATGAAAATCTTTTACCTTCCGTAAAATTTCTTGGTGGGAATTCATAAAATCTCATGTCAAAGAATTTTCTCGTGATCTCGAAATCAAATACCTTGAGCTTTGTAAAATGATTTTTGCGTCATATTAGAAAACTTTGTTAATACTCTTATCAATCCTCACGTTGTTTGGTTGTCTTTGCTCATGGGGTTTTCATTTTACTTGCATTATCTACATGGATAATCTTCTCTTATAAACTGAATTTTACTTTCTGTTTTTTTTTTTTAATTCTGTACATCTCTTCTTTGATACATGATGATCCATGTTATAAACAGAAAATGTTAAAGGATTTGATTGTTTAACTATTGGATTTCTTAGTATTATTTATTTTATTCATAGTAATCCAAGAAATTAGCACTACCTATTGTTGCATTTGGTAATTTGAATTTGAAAGAAGAAATTTTTGGATTTCAAATTTAGTATTGATTGTGTGATAAAACACATGCAAATATGACTTCTAAGATTATTTTAAAATTCATGAATCTATTGAATTCCTATTTAATCATGAATTTAAAAAATCAATAATTATTTGTGAATTTGAAAGAAATCCATCTTCTTATAACCTTCCAAATACATAAACATATTGAAATTTAACTAATTTTTACATAGTGTGTGCATTTCATTCTCACCATCATTTGAAATACAGTAAAGCATTACATATATAAATATATATATATATATATATAGAGTCCTAATATACAATTTTATTCTAAAAATTGATGTGCTATATATGTAGTAAAAACTATGTTAGAATTCCTCATGTCCAAGTCAAAGACATTGCACTTTTCTTCCAAGAATATGTAGAATGTTGAAAGTTGAATAGAATAAACATCAATTGATTCAACCACGACGTGTTGAATTTTGTTGACTTAGTATTTGATTAACAATTCAACAACTGCAACCTATCTAAAGTTAAAAACGAACAGAACTCTATACATTTTATACTTTTATGATTAACATATATTTGACAGAAGGAGGAACCCACCACCTGTTCAACATATTAACATATTCAAGATTACTCGTTAAAATCATGACCGCAACCTTTAATCTAATAATAATTTTGTCTATCTCCTTTTAAAAAGATTCAAATCCTTTTATCCTTAATACTTTGTTCTCACATGAAATTACTCGTTGATAATCGGTACTTAATGATTAATTATTAGATTTAGGTCAAGGAAAACACAATTTTTGCCTCTTTTCAAAGTCATGCAATTTTCATTTTCGTTTCCTTTTTAAGAAATCAAATGATGTACCTGGACACCGTCAAAGTAATTGTAAGAGGACTAACAATCTGCTTTGACGCACTACATAGAAAGCTATTTAAACCAATTCCAGAATATATTGGAAAGATCATAAGGTGATATAAGATAAAACAACAAATGAAATTAATTACGGTTATTTGAAAACTCAATCGATAGAATTATTAAAATGTATGATTTGCAAGTTTTCAATGGTTTTGCGTTTTTTCTTTTACAGAAAAGTCTATCAAACAAACGAAATATAAAGATATATATATATATTAACGTTAGATATGTCATAAGATTCATAACAAACGAGATATAAAGATGTATATATTGGCATTTATGACAGAATTTGATGTGATCTCAGCCCATAAAAGAAGCTCTTTTGCCTTGACTCGCCTATGCTTTGACCCATCTTTATTAAAGAGATCATCAGCCTAGAGAGGTGAAGGGAAGGAGTATGGAGATTAACCCAACATTAATTAAGTTAAAATCTATGAAGATTAAATCCATTTATAAAGTCAATTCTATTGCTTATAATCTTTCTAGCATAAAAGTGCCGGAGTTGTACATGACATTAAAAAATGAGGTATGCTGCTAAAAATATTGAGTTGATTACACAATAATATATATATTGTAATAATTGTGTCGAACACAAATTGTCAATTATTGATTATTTGCTTTAGTTTTACGCAACAAAGAAAACAATATACCAACACAAATTGTCATCCCTAATTGCTAAGTACTCCCTCTATATATGCCGTTGGTAACCGTACCTTTCACTTGTAAAATGATCGTCTTAAAGGCATTATCCAGCTTCTGTATAATCTTGTAATAATTACTATAGCAGAAAATATCTAAAAACTATATCTCGATTTTACAGATAGTTCGTTTTATCGAGAAGAAAAGGCTATCTTCTATTCAATATAGAGCCTGACTATATATTTCACTCTTGGACTTAAGAAATGGAAATCCTAAGTAATTTGAATCTCTTACCAAAATAGATTAAAAAAGCTAAAATTATTCATCTAGCAACGATGAATTCACATTAAATAAATATATTTCATGAAAATCAAATTTCGTAAAATGTTCTAGAATTTAGAATATTCTAAATTAAACTAAAAAGTAATATGTTCTAGAATTTAGAATTATAAATGTTGTTTAAATTCGTCAAAAAATTATTGTTTAGTGAGAATCACTTCCAGAGAAAAATCATGAATGCACTAGATGGAAGTGGGAAAATTCGCCTTTAATAAGATGGTTCGAAGATGGAACTCTGAGATACCGAACCATACTACCAAAATGAGAAATCAGCATGGGCGTTGGCTTCCGTTGGCCGGTAATGGTCCGAAAATTCAACAAATGCCACCCATAGTTGAATAAAGCACAAACCCAAACAAGTTGGCAAAACCAACTTTTGGCTTTTTGCCCTTATCTACATTCTAGTATATACCTTTTATTTGACATTTATTAAAGGAAAATGTGTCACCAAGTCAAATCTTTAATCCATAATTAGATACGATTACACTTTGTTTTTCCTCTTTCTGGGTTTTTGTTGTATTAATTTCAATGTCATTATTAGTGGCGCATGGACTGGATTGTCTGATTCTCTCTTGGGTTGATTTCAATTAGCTGGAAAAAATTAGGTTCATTTCAATTAACAGGGCGATTTCAGATTGAGATGGCTTGACGGCACAAGTGCTTATTTCCCTTACAGGCCCTGGACCACATATGTGATAGGGATGTATCATGACAGGGAGACAGCCAAACCAGGAAATTTATAAGCTGACGCCTCTGTGGCCTTTTTTGTTAACACATACCAAAACGCCTCACAATTTTAATGAATTTATATCCAAATAAATAATATTTGAATTACTCTCTTACGTCCCTACAAAATTCGAATTTAAAATCCTCATTCGAGTTCGCCTTCAATTAGATTAAATTATCTCTTATAATCAATGATTGGTCCTAAATTAATGAAAAAACATGAGTCATACCAAATGAGGTATGAATGTCTTAAACATACAAATAATTAAGCAAAAACATTTTATCAACCCAAAATCTTATAATCACAGTGAAGTCAAGGTAGTAATAAGTGATGACGGTCATTATTTTTTAGTTTTTTAATTTTTAATTTTTTTTATTATATATATATAATTTGAGATATATAAATATATGCTTTTATATAATTAGCATTTTAATCTTAAATTTGTTATTATTTATATGTGAGCTTTAGGTACAATTATATATCTTCTTAATAAAACAAATGTTATAATTGATGTTAAAAGGTATAATGGAACAAAAAAATAACACGTTTTGTCGCTTTAATACGCAGAATGAGTAACATAATTGTATTTTAGTGGGAATGGGATTAGGTGAACCTTTTCTTTTGAGTTTTGATTGATGTTAAATGTTTCCTTCCATCTTCTCTTTCCAATATGGATCGGTGAATGTGTAGTTGTTGAGATTTAATTGTTTTTTTAACTAAGGGAGCTGCAAAGAGAATAAAAATAAGTATTATGCAGTCATCAATCATCAGCTTCGTCTTCCAAATCATCATAGATTGTTGTTTAAATGTTTCAAGTTTTTCAAGCGTTTAGGTAGAATTATCTTGTCAACTTAACACGATCACCCCAACTTAAACAATCACGTAACAAGAAGCTTTGCATAAGAATACAGTTCACAAGTTTCTCAATCTTTAACTACAATCATTATTATAATTTGTGATAAGAATTGTATTGACGATATCAATTTTATGATTATTATTAATTATTACTACTCATTAGTAACATCTTTTAGTCTTACTGTCATGCCTAATGGTTCAAGAAGAAAGTGGGCAAAATGTTTTTAAAAATCTCATATCTAGCATGTAAAGGAGTCTTAGGTGACTTATAAGCGGTGGCATTGCATATTCCATCAAATTAATCTTTTAGAGAGAAGGTAATGGTCTCGTGACAATGGGGAGAAGGTAATGGCTAGAGCACACCTAACCTTGTCTTGATTTCATACCAAGCACCTCTAAGGGAGGCAGGCAAGGTGACCAACAACAACGAGAACATGATCAAATGAGGTGGGTGAGGATCACGTTTAACCCGTCGAGAAGGAAGTCAAATTGAATAGGTGAGGATCACGCCTAGCTCCATTAAAAAAATAAATAGATAAGATATTTTTAAAAATCTCATATCAAATAAATAATCTTGAATCACTTATAAACAATGACGATTATAATTATAATAGCTCCATGACACTTACTCTATACCTTTATTTTCATATACATGTCGAAAATTGAATCCCGAATTGTATCCGCCTCGTACAATGGAGCTCTTCCCGCGTAATTCAAAAAAAAATTATATATTTGAAGAAGGACAAGAGAGAAGAAGCGAAATCACATTAATTGCAGTTAAATTTCTGGGACGAAAAGTCAAAATCAAAACAGTTTGCATTACCCCACAGACATTTAATCAACAGTGTATTCCAGCTCCGACCGAGAGGCCATCTTTGCAAAGTAGGCTACCCACATCACCCAACTCAAAACTACCTCTACCCAGCCATTAGCCGTATTTTTCTTAAACATTAAATAATATGTCTCATGGCCAAAAAGTCCAAATGTTTCCCATCAATGGACTGTCAATTAATAGACTTTTTGGTGGCAAATTGCTACACTCAAATGCTCCTAATTGCGCCTCTCTTTGTGCTCTCACATGATTTCAAACACTCTTTTTCTCCCTTTTTTTAATAATCTTTGTCCTTTTGCGATATTTCAAATGTTTATAGGTTTATTTCTCGGATGATTTCATACCTTTTACGTATATTTTGATTTTTTTTTTTATGTAAATGTCTATTAAGACGTGAATAAATGAGTGATAAAATCAACAAATAAATCATAAAGTGACCTTTACTCTTTTGAAAATGAAAAAGCATGTTTAACTTTTGATTAACAGATTTAAAGATTTGAAACCACTGTGGTGCGCTTGAATCAAAAAGTTGTTTTCGTCAGAATGTCCATTAAATTCGGAAGCATTTGATAGTGGCGTAAGTGAAAAAGTGATGATGTCAATTTCATCCAGCTCAAGTTTTCAGTCCCCGAGGTGATGAATTTATTGCCTTGTTCATTTAAATTTACATGCTAAAATTTATGAACTAGAAATGGCAATGTAATCAATTCTCAGACCAAGGCAATCTCAATAAATTTTCTTGTCCTTAATTTTGACCATTTGAAGATAAATGGGTATAGTCTTTTCAATATCGAATCAGACCATTTAAAAATATCAAATACTGTACCATTATCATACATATAAGTAATTACCAAGGGTTATCATTTTTACCTTTTTTTTAAAAAATAAAAAAAAATTGAATCATTTCTTGATTTTGTGCAGGTTATCTTTGTAAGTGTCACAAAAAAAGTGCCTCTATCTCACATCGGATAGGAACAGGGGATCCTAGGCTCTTTAAAAGCAGATGTGCTGCACACTCCCATAAACGCGTTTATGGGAGAGAAGGTAATGATCCCGTGACAAGTGGTATCAGAGCGGACCGGACCTCGTCTGACTCACGCCAAAGCGCCCGGACCTAGGAGACTCAAGGTAGGCAGGGTGACCGAGAGCAACGAGGACGTTGCCGAAATCGGGTGGGAGAGAGTGTCACGAAGAAAGTACCTCTATCCCACATTGGAATCGGGTGGGAGAGAGTGTCACGAAGAAAGTACCTCTATCCCACATTGAACAAGAACGGGAGGTCCTAGGCGTTTTAAAAGTGGGTGTGCTGCACACCTCCATAAGCGCGTTTATGGGGGAAAGGGTAATGACACCGTGACACAAGGGTTGTGTTAATTTTTTTTTTATCATTCCAATTTTATCGGGCATCTTCAAAAGGACAGTTACCATTTCTAGCTAATAGTTAACTAATCCATATTTAAAAAAAGAATGTAAAAATATTTAAGAAAAACAAAGCTACATATGACAGAGTTGGTTGCATTAAAATTCAAAACCCTGATATAATCCAAACAAATCAATGAAATAATAATTCTTCAGTACTAGAGAGGACAATAATGCACCAACCCAACCTATAGAAGCAGTTGCACATTCAATGCTTATCACATGAAACTTTGATGCTTAGCAGTTAGCATATGGAGGGAGATTTGTTTTGAGTTGTGACTATTTTTGGGAAGGACTTGGCAAAACCATAAAAGGGTTTGCCATAGGTGGTTCCACGCGCTCTAAAGGTGCGTCTATGACTAGCATTGCTAGTGTGAAATCATCCAATAGAAAGTTTATCTGTTGTTGGTGTTATTGTTCCTGGGAACTATAGATTATTTTGCAGAAATGGAAAATTATGAAAAGAATCTTCTTTTGTTTTTTGTTTGTGACATCACAAAAAGGGCGGTAGGTTCCTGGTTGAGAAAGTTTACTGCAATACAATTCAACCATGCAAACCTAACAGTGTTGAATAAAAGCACTAACCCAAAAGCCATTCACAAGAGAATGATATAATACATGCCCAAAGTTCCATGTCCTTTTGTTTTTCCTCACCACCTTCGTTCATGCTCATCTAGGCATCGCCACCCAAGACCACCACCACCACCACCATGCATATAAACCGGCTTTGCTTCATTTTACCGGCTGATTTCGATGAAATCGCCCCCTTAGACCACCCCAAAGCTGATAAACCTGCCATAAAGGAGGTTAGGAAACATCCATACCGGGAATGTGGGAGTCAAGTTCTTGATTTCATTGGCGGGGCATTGCGCCGGTTCTATGACTCGAGATGGGTTCATTTTTGTCACCATGATGTGCCGAGAAAACAGCAACCCAGTGTGTTTCATGACCTGGAAGGAGTTCAGATGTCCGAGAAGGTCGGTGGAGAGAATCCAAGGATTTTTAGTTATGCTGAGCTTTATATAGGTTCTAATGGCTTTAGTGAAGATGAAATTCTTGGGAGTGGGGGTTTTGGCAAAGTGTATAGAGCAGTTTTACCTAGTGACGGAACAGCGGTTGCGGTGAAATGTTTGGCAGAGAAGGGGGAGAGGTTTGAGAAGACCTTTGCAGCTGAATTGGTGGCTGTGGCTCATCTACGCCATAGAAATCTTGTTCGGTTAAGGGGTTGGTGTGTACATGAAGACCAGTTGCTCCTGGTTTATGACTACATGCCCAATCGGAGCCTTGACAGAGTACTCTTTCGGAGGCCTGAAAACATGGGCCCAGCTCCTTTAAACTGGGACCGCCGGAGGAAAATTATCGGAGGCCTTGCAGCTGCATTATTTTATCTCCATGAACAATTGGAAACTCAGATTATACACAGGGATGTAAAGACAAGCAACGTAATGCTTGACTCCCACTATAATGCACGGCTCGGTGACTTTGGCTTGGCACGGTGGCTCGAACATGAACTTGAGTACCAAGTCAAGACACCAGCAACAAAAAGGCATCAGTTCCGTTTGGCGGACACAACCAGGATTGGTGGCACAATTGGGTATCTGCCACCAGAGAGCTTCCAGAAGCGAAGTGTGGCTACAGCCAAATCCGATGTCTTCAGTTTTGGGATTGTTGTGTTAGAGGTGGTTTCTGGGAGGCGCGCTGTGGATCTTACATTTCCAGATGAGCAAATCATTTTGCTTGACTGGATCCGTAGGCTGTCTGATGAAGGCAGGCTTTTACATGCAGGGGATACTCGACTTACAGACGGGTCTTACAGGCTTGCTGATATGGAGCGGTTGCTTCACATAGGACTCCTCTGCACACTGCATAACCCGCTGTTGAGGCCTAATATGAAATGGGTTGTGGAAGTGCTTTCTGGTAATATTTCTGGCAAACTGCCAGCTTTGCCATCATTCGAGTCCCACCCTCTATACATCTCCTTGTCATCCCCTTCCAACACCAGCGGAAGCAAGAGCACCACCAGTAGCAGGTCCTCCACCACCACAAGCACCAACACGACAGTCACGTTTGCGTCATCAAATTATGTCACTGCCTCTGAAGAAACTATTTATGCAACTGCTGAATTTGGAATCAATTCTTCCAGCTTATACCATAACAGCTCTCGCCGACCAACAAACTTCTTTGTGGTTGAAACTCCAAGAGAAATATCCTTCAAGGAACTCATTTCTGCCACCAACAATTTCGCAGAATCAAACAGAGTAGCAGAGCTCGACTTCGGAACTGCCTACCAAGGTTTCCTTAACAACCGTCATCACATTCTTGTGAAGAGACTTGGCATGACTAAATGCCCTGCATTGCGAACACGGTTTTCAAGTGAACTCCAAAACTTAGCAAGGCTTCGCCATCGTAATCTGGTACAACTACGTGGATGGTGCACTGAACAAGGAGAGATGCTTGTTGTATATGATTATTCAGCCAATCGACTGTTGAGTCACCTCCTATTCCATGACAATAACAGAATTGGCAGCTCTATTTTGCGATGGCAACACAGATACAGCATTATCAAGTCCCTTGCTTCTGCCATTCTTTATCTTCATGAGGAATGGGATGAACAAGTTATCCATAGAAATATTACCTCTTCAGCCATCGTTCTCGATTCCAAAATGAACCCACGGCTTGGTAGTTTTGCTCTTGCTGAATTCTTGACAAGAAATGATCACGGCCATCATGCAGCTACCAACAAGAACAAATCAGTTCGTGGAATTTTTGGTTACATGTCACCAGAATATATGGAATCTGGAGAAGCAACCCCAATGGCTGATGTTTATAGCTTTGGTGTGGTGGTGCTTGAGGTGGTTAGTGGACATATGGCAGCTGACTTTCGGCGGCCTGAGGTATTATTGGTAAAGCGGGTCCATGACTTTGAGACACAAAGAAGGCCACTGGAGGAACTGGTTGATATTAGGTTGAATGAGGAATACAATGATAAAGAACTGTTGAGACTGACAAAACTAGGAATTGCCTGCACACGCTCTGACCCAGAATTAAGGCCTACCATGAGGAAGATTGTGAGCATTCTTGATGGGAATGACAAAATCTTCATGGAAGAAGGTCAAAGAAAGGAGGGTAGGGAAGAATGGAAACAGAGAAATGCTTCTTCTTTGTCATTGGTTAAGGGAATCCATGCTCTGGGAATACATTAAAACTCACCAAAGGAGAGGCGAGTTGTTAGCACATATGTTTTGCATTACAATTTTCTTTTTCAATTATTGTATACTACTGAAGGATGTGTATAACAAGAGAGAAGAGTGCTTTTTGTTGTATCTATCTGGACAACTTTTGTGAAAATGTAGTGTAGTATAACACCAGTTAACCTTAACAGTTTCTTGCCATATCCACTGCTATGAACTTCTCATACATTGTAATTACAATTCTATTCAGATAGATCAGGAAATAGATTAGAGAGACAGAAATAAAAATAATCAGTACTAATTTATTGTTTTGATAGAATTTCTTGAATTTATATCATTTGAAAGATAACAGTAATGATATGTGACATGATACAAAAAGATTAAAGGGACAGAAAAAAAAATATTCAGTACTAATTTTAATGTTTTAATAGAATATCTAGTATTTGTTTCATTTGAAAGAAAACAGTAATGACATATGAACTGATACAGCACCACAGTTTTGACTAAATACTTGGATGCCTTAGGTATATGAACAAATCTTAATCTGACCTCATTCCAGATTATAGTGTAGCTCCTTCAAGTGCAGTTAGCTTCCTCAGTAAGGTAGTTCTTCATCACTTTCGATCCCAACCCAGTTAATAAAAGCAAAGAGGAACTCTCTGAAGCTGACCTTTCCATTCTTATCCCAGTCCATTTCTTCTGCATTTTCACATAGGAATTACCAAAAGAAGGATTATTAGAATTTATTAGAGACACTTAAGAGAAATTAGATAGTTGAAAGTATAATGAGTGAAGATGATGATACTGAATCTAGTCGAGGTGACACGTGCAGGGGATCTTTCCCAAGGAGAAGCCTCATTTAGTGCCTTGGTCATGTCTTTCTTGTTCAATTTTCCATCACCATTCTTATCAAGAAACAAGAATGCTTCAACAATAGTATCAAAAGTGGCCTCAAGCTGTGGTGAATCCATCTTCAATGTCTGAAACATTCCCAATTCATCATTAAAGACACTGATTAGTTCCTTCTAAATTAGCATGCTATGTTCTGAAATCAGGAAAAGAAACAAAAATGAGTTTACTGTGGATACAGTATCAGGAGATGAGGAAGGTTTCATTAGGAGATAGATGAGACAAAGGAGAACAATAAACTCATTAAATTGTATCCCTTGACTCCCATCAATGTCACAGGAATGAAACAAATCCTCAACCTCCTCTTTCGTCTGGTGAAATTGCAGTTTTTCCAAACATTTGTTCAGTTCCTCACGATCAATAGTTCCATTAGAGTCTTCATCTAGAGAGAGAGAGAGAGAGTCAATTTGCTGTAAAACTCCAAGATAATATCTTTTAGAGCTGAAGAGCAAATTTGTTGCAACCCACCATACTGCTCAAATACGCCCCTGAGGTTTTTCAATCCGTCCCTGAACTGAGGGAACCTCACAATTATGCTGTCAATTGATTTGAAATTTGATTGTCCTGATGCACTTCTCTTCATTTCAATCATTTTCCTTTCAAGCTTTGAATCCAGCTTCTTGTACTTATTTGGTGAACCACAATGACAAAGCATGCCTTCTATTCTGCTGGACAAAGACTTCAGGGATGGGCAAGGACGACATTTTCCTTAAGATAAGATATGGAAATCAGAAGTCAAATGAAGGCTCGATGTTGGGATGGAATGAAGATAATACTGCACATTTTGTGACTTTCTTGTTTCATGGTGAAATCAACTAATAAATTTTAACTGATGATGCTAGCTTAGTGAGTATAATATATTTAAGAATATTTCTCTCATTTAAGGTAACAAATGAAAGTGATGACCAATTCTCTGCACCATCTATTTCTATGTCAGCAGCAAAATCTGAGAAGAAAGGGACACTTTCCTCTGCTTTCCCTGAATGTACCTTAACAGATACATTGAAGGATTCTATCACTATCCTGAAGTTCATTTTTACAGCATGTTATAAGGGAAAATGTCGTTTCTGTTAGTTTCATATATTGAGTCCCGCTCCAACCCCACCAACGGTTACTGCAGAAATGTCAGAGCAAACCTGTTGGTCGAGAGTTCCATGAGGATGATGCTAGTTGCATGTCAGCATCAGCAGTACTAATAGAGACAGTAAAATACAAAACCACTATGAAACCAACTCATAATTGAGCTTGCCCCTTTGTACTTTCAAATCTACATTCTTTAGACTCATCTATATTAGTCAAATGGAAAAGAAAACAACTTAAAAATCCCAAAACTCATTCTCTAAGGCCATAGCTATAAGAGGCAACAATCCATCCTTCTAGTCTCTCATGTCTCTAAGCAACCTATCACTGGTCTCCCCATCTACAATGCAGTCTTTTTTTTTTTTTTTGCTTCTTTTTAATTTATTTTCCCTCACATAGCAAGTTCTCACTTCTTCTCCTCTTTTATTTTTTCTTATTTTTCTGTCCTGGATGAGAGAAGTTAGATTTCCTTTGGTAAGTTATTGATAGTGTGAAATAGAATTAAGCGTAATTTCTCAACGCTTTTGGGGTAGATATTGGCTAACCTTTGGCTGGGTACCAGAGTTGCTATATTGAGTGTAGAGTACCTTAATGTGGCTATGGAAGGTGATTGTGCTTGCAGTTTTTATATTATGAAAGGTTTCTGGACACTTCTGAAGGCTCTTCTTCAGCATAAAACTCCATGAAATTGTAGTTCCTGAATTACCTTTAACATTAATCACCAAAATCTGTCCTAATTTTGGATCTATCTCTTGTTAGCCATACTGATATTCACCTAGAAGATTAGCTTGACAGAATTGTGCATGAAGCATGATAATCATTATATCCATATAACATAAATTACTTTACAAAATATAAACTGAATTCTGAATCAGATTGATGATCAAGGTTTAAAACCATACTAAGCGAATACGTGGAAAGAGTCCATTAGTTTTTATCCATAAGTTATGTAGTCGATAGACACTTTATCAGCCGCCTTGGCTGGTGAAGACAAGGCAGGTAAATAAAATTGGAATATGAGACAGACAGCCTAATTAGCAGACAACAGAGAAAGGACCTATGAAGTATTGACTAAGGAACTTCAGAACATTTTCGGCTTCATAAATGACAGTATGTAGAATTCATGTAGTCCTTCCCTCAGCCCCGACAAGGGACGTGCTTGAAAGAAGAGTCAAACTCAAGAATGCAATTAATGACTTAACTATAGCATTTGTCCATTTATGTCCCATCACCATACAGAAAAAGTCACAAAAAATCACTTTCTTTACCCTTAAACAAACATAACACTGACTCGTGAAGCTACCTTGTGACTGATAATTCATATATTTACAGTATGCACAGGAAATTGGAGTCCAGACTGTCAGTACATTATTCTTGATGAGGCTCATGTATACAATTTAATCAAACCAACTATGATTTCTTCAGGAGTATTCTATATTTTGTTACTTAAATAAAGGAATTACTTACAAAATGATGATGATCAGGTCCTATTCATCTTAATTCTTAACCTAGATACGGTTGATAGATGCAAAAGTTATCTAAAATGGTTATCAGAACTTTGGTTTTATGATTGTTAACAATCCATTAACCTATATTACTAGGAAAGCTAACAATTATCCATAATCAGCAATTTACAACCAAAACAAAAACACATATTTACCAAAAGTAAATTCTACCAATATAATTAAATACAACTGATTCCAGTAAAACAAAAAGCTGGAGAATAACTCAATCCATGAGCCAAGCATATACATAAACAGGAACAAAAAAGAACGCTTATAATCCAAAACTTCATTAACATTTAACTATATGGCATCACAGGGAAAAAGAAAAAAATAAGGTATCAAACAGACAAATAAAATAAAGAAAGAAGAGGAGAAAAGAAACAGAGACATACCCATTGAAGCTTAATTTGATGGTGTTAGAGATGATGATGAAGCTGCTAGTTCTTGCAAGAGAAGAAAGAGGTCACAAAAGAAACAGTTTATAAGTCAACAGAGAATGATGAAGGGAAAGCTGTGGTTATTCCCACAGAGCTGAGGAAAAAAGGTGAAGGGAGAGAAGGGGTAAAGAATAAGCAAAAATTGAGGGGAATTCTCAAAGTGGAGATGCCATAATAATGGCCTTTGACAACAACGAGTACACCTTTATTCCCTTGTTTCAAATATCGCAACGGTACAAAAGTAAACAAAGCCTAAATTCTGCACCCCTTTTGGACCGCTGTCTCTCATTGCAACCAATGGAAACATGCCATGTCAGCATCATTATTACAAACTATGCCTTTTTTTTCTCTTTCTATATTATAAATGTAACATTAGCATGCTGTGCTTAAGCTAGTGGTATCTCTATTACTAACAGTGTTTAGATAAGAAAAAGGAAAGATAGAACTAGAGAAAAAAAAAATTGATTTAGTGGATAAGCTTGTACTTAAATTTCATGGTATCCAAAATCTCCTATTCCCCATTATTTAAATTATTATTTGCGTGAAGTGATACTATGAACTAATGTTCATAGAAAAGCCTTTTATAAATTTTTCAATAAATTTTGCTTAATTGATGATTATCAATGATGGGACAGTTTAGGAGTCATGAACATTGCATTTCTATATTAGCATTTGTCTGATTATTGACCACTCAATTAAAGACTAGAAACATAATACTTGCAAGTTGCAACCAGGTCAACTAATCATTTTACTTTGCATCTGCTTTATATTTTGGTTTTCATGAAATTCTATGTACATTTCCATGAATGAAACCTCATCCTTCATATAACTGAAACCCACCAAAAGATGTCTAAAACGTTACAAAAATGAACTCAAAAGATGCAAAGTTACAAACAATGAAAGAATAGCATGCAAGACAAAGCTGGTCGACCCTGCTTTTACTTGCTCGTAAAATGTGCAGAGCAGCATCCTCAAGCATTTTACTGAAATTATCATTGAAAAGATGGACCCTTTTTGGCTGAACTTGTGCATTTTCTAAAGGCTAATATGTTTTATTTGATTCATCATGTATGCACTTGCAGCTTGTTTTCTTTAGCTCACATGGCTGGTTTTGCAGCTAGAGAAGTGGGGGACTGATGAGCAGGGTTCTGACCTTACTAAATCTTCAATAACATCTTCATTGCATTATTGGAAAATATTAAGCAATGTAAAATTCAGTGGAATTCCTTGCTTTTAGCATCCATTACTACTAATAGTAATATCGAGGCAAAAGCTAGTTCCAAACTAAAAATTTTAAGCTTTCAACACCAAGTTTAATTAGGAAACTCATAGAACTCCACCCAACCTTTCCACCACAATTAGACTCCTGTTTATTTCTTGACAAAACCTGAGAATACCCTGACAGCATACCAAAAGCATAATAATGATGATTATAAATACAATCTATTGCAAATTTTACAGCGAATGGATCTCATCATATAATTGGGAGGCTGAAATGGAATTGGAAATAAAGTCCATTTCTTATTGAAACAATTTATTAAAATTAGAAAAATCAGAAGCACTCCCATGGAGTCAGTCTTTTGATAGTCTTTGGAGATATGTTATGTTTAAATCCAACTATATTCTTGTCTTGATCATAAAGTCTATGTTAACTTTAAGAGTAAAGTACTTTCATCTTTATATTTTGATCAAAATTATATAAAAATTTATTAATTTTCAAAATAAAGATTCCGCATTTGAAAAAAATTTTCCACTTAACATATAAGTCGAACCGTTTTCATCACTTTGATAATGTAACAAAAATAAAAAAATAATTTTATTAACTTTTTATTAATTAAAAAAAAACCTCCCTAAAAGAGCTCCGGTGCTCTCCTGAGGATAATTTCTATTAAAGGGTATTTTACCTAACTTTAAAGCTGAACTATAGAAATCTTGTGCCATAATACTGTTCAAGGGAAGGCAATGCAAAGTTTTAGAGGTAACCCCATATTCAAAAGGATCTGCTTTTAGAATATACAGACCGCTGATGGTACAGTTGGTAAAAGAAAAAAGACATTTAGATTAATAACTAGACATGGAGTAAAAACAAAAGGGGAAAAAATAAAAAGAGAGAAGGTACCATTTCTAAGATGGAAAGGTCCTGCTACTCAACTAATATTAGGCATCACCCACTCTATTTCTTGCCTTATGTTGCCATCCAAGGGCAAAGGGTCTGCATTACCAAACAAGGGCCTTGGCCTCTTCTTCATAATAGCAGCCTGTGAACCAACACCCATCGGAGAAACAGGGCTCCCAGTTGAAGTCAAGCAGCTTTCAACAGAGCAGTCACCAATTCGGGCCGGCATACTGGAAGCAGTTTTGTTCTCTAGAGCTGCAGCAAGTTCAGACAAGGAAGGCAATTTTATGTTATCAAGAGGGATCATCTCTTGACAATCGTTGGAAACCTTGATAGCGAGTTCAGAAAGCTCTTCTCTGGCAGCTTCAAGACCAGCAGAAGCAGCAGCCTGATCATTCAGAGCTTTACAGGCTTTCTCGAGTATTGACTGTAGGTATTTGCCTTGTGCTTCAATCCGAAGTTGAAGACGTCGCTGTACCTGCTAAGTGAAACCATTAGTATGCAGAAAAATCACACACGAAAATGTTTCTTCCACCAGAAAGAGTAATCATATAATACAACAAGAAGGAAAACCCTTTTGAGGTCACTCAAAAATTTTCAAAATAAGCAAGTGGCTTTCTACAATATCACTTCATTAGCTAGCATATACATGTCAATAATTAATCATACAAGTACTGAAGAAAGCTAATGCTAACCAAAAGTCCAGGCCACTATCTAGCAGCCACAGCCAGAGCTTATGAAACCAACCTCCAACTGTTCATGTAGTCTCCGTTGCACTTCCATCTGCACTCGAAGAGCTTCAGTAACCTGGTAACCACTGTTTGGAAGATGAAATTCATCACTCATCCAAAGCCTAAGAAAACTAACAAGAGCATCAAACAAGAGAAGAAATAGCATACTCATTCAAATCTTGCGCCACCATTCTCGATGTTGATGTTGTAGATGAACCAGTGTCCTGACTTTCTGCAACACAAGAAGCTGAAACACCAAAGATACATCTCATTACCAGTCAATTAAGAATTTGGATAGCTATTATCTGGCACCTAGCAGTTGACAAGAGATAATTCTCAGGACCTCCACCATGACCCACATCATACACATGGCAGAAAGGAAAACAATTAGAGACGTTAAATGCCGAGACTGACCTAAAACATAATTTGGTAATTTTATCGAAACCCCAAGAACACATGTCTGAAAAACTTACAGTTTAAATGCCAAGACTGACCAAAATGCAAAATATATATAGAAGGAATTTTAAAAGCAAAATTTGATAATTTTATCAAACACCAAAAGCTCATGCCTTCTAGAGTATAGTTGCTTCTCTTCGTGGTGATGTAATAAACCAGAGGAATATGATAGAAACCTTTCCTCAATGGTCTCTTCTTGGCAAAGTCAAAACAGTTAAATAGTCATGGCACTTGGTCTTAAGTACATCAAAGGTACAAAACAAAAGGTAGAAGGAGGAAGTTACCATATTCATTATTGAATGCAAAATCTCTTTAATAATTACTAATTCAAAGAGACCAAGATGTGTACCATCCTTAGAGTTATCAGTTGATTCCTTGCATGATTGCTTCCCCAACCGGTATTTCTGCAAAGAAGGAACATTGAGTAAATTATAAGAATTTCAATTAGCTTAGCTGGTAAAACCCCCTCCTCCCAACACAAACACATGCAAAAATTCTTCGGTACAGAGAATAACAAATTATGGTAGATCATGTTGCAAAACAATATCCATCTTTGACATAGAAAAGACAGGGGCTGAAGACATGACATCACCAATACATTGTAGGGAACAACTTCAAATCATGATCATTGAAGAGATGATAGTAACAACGAACCTGAAGGTGTGATTTCAAGTGATAGAGCGTAAGGCCTTTTACTCCCATTGTTCTCATAATAGTCTTAGGGGTTGCTTCTGAAATGCATATCAGACAAAACAAGCTACATCAAGATTCATAACTTTAGAATAACTAAATGCAAGAGCAATAAGACATAACAGAAGGGTACATGCACATTGACTCTAATAATGCTGTTGTCAGTCAGCAGGCTTGGTTCATGTAAAATCACTCTGAGATTCAAACTCAGAGCATAACCAAGCCGGCAAAAATTTTTGACTCAGCAGAGCGGTAAGCCTCAATCAAACAAAAGATACCAGAAAGAAAGTTTAATTGACAAACACTAGTGGCCTAAGGTGCATCTTTAAAACCCCTTCCAGTGCCTGTTTGAAGAACCAAGTAGGAAACTGTAGGTGGTTGCCAACTCACCATCACAAAATACACATGGTTTTCTTAATTTGTTATTTATATGATGTTTATTTTACTGCATTGAGACAAACCTGTTGCCATCTTGTCCCAAAATCACTCATAGAATCAACTATTTCATACTCTTTTCCTACAGTTTGTGGCCTCTAACCATCAATAGGATTTCAATTCTCTACCAGCATCATTATTACAATTACAAGCGAATGGATTATTTTAGTCAGCAATTTTCTCAGAATTCAACTTTAGACAGCAAAATTAATGAGCTACAAATTCATGGGGAGACAAGTCCAGGAGATTAACCTACTGTCTACTTGAGCATTGCATTTAAAAAGAAATATTGTATATTTCAAAAGGTAAGAGGAAAAGAACATTGTGCTATGACGCTTGTACAATTATTTCTTACAAGCTATGTTTCCAGCATAAATAACTTCATGCACAAACCCTGTAATTTGCTCTTATTTAAAATCTTAATCCTTTGGCATAATTTTTACAGGAGGAAAATACTAATAGCAAGAATATTCTTCCCAGACCAAGACAAAGGACCATAGTTGCTCTAGTTTGTCTTCCAACAAAAGTATGCTGACCAAAATTATTGAACTTAATGGCTCCAAAACATGTTTTGTCCTTTTGGTTGCATTTTATCCCTAGAGAAGTACCCCAGAAGCATATAGTGGGCACAAAAAATTCGAATAGATAACCAGAAAGTAGTACTAGAAGAATAAAAAGCAAACAAAACTAAGCCCAATGAATGAGCTAGTCAATGTCTACGTGTTTATACAAACATATTTCTGTACACATGTATAAGATGAGAGTTCCTTCCAGTAATATCTTAAACAAGAGGTCAGAAATATAGAATTGGCAGATATCTTCTACAGAGAAAGAGCCAATAGCAATGAGGTAAAGTTCAAAGACGTCATGATCCATTTTCAAATGATATTACCACTACCAATATAGAACACGATTTTAAATCATACCAATGATTACATTGAAAAACAATTGTGGCTGGTAATTAAGTCAAAGCTGACATGAAGAACATGGTAAGCACATAACTTCTTCATCCAAAAAAAGGCAAAGACCACTCCTTTAATCACTTCAATTCAGCCTATAAAACAACTATATCAAACACCATCATACCAATTAGTACAACAATCGAAAATAGGAACAAAAAAGGGCAAAAATACCCTGAGTTCCAAAAGCAAAATACAATTTTTGGACTGTGATCCATGACTACATAAATTCCAGAGTTTCCAAAATACAAATTGACCACAATTCAAGCAACGAAAATAAGAAAACGAATTAATTTAAAAACACAATATTTCCAATCACATTAGCAAAAAAAAAAAAAGCTCCAAGTCTCAAAAGCATGAGCTAAAACAAAGAAACCAACCCAAAAACCAAATACAATAATGAGTCCCAAAGAACCCAATGACCAAATCTTATCACTATTTAATCACATAACCCAAAAAAAACACCTAAAACAACAGGGAGAAGGGCAAAAAAGAAAGCAACCACTTTTCAAGAACCACATGCGTAAAGAGTTAAAACTACAGCTAACTCAAAATTTTATTAAAAAAGAAACCTTAATTAACATTAGCACCACACATTATTATTCAATCAAATAAAAATTAAACCTATGCCTAAAAAGAAGGGGGGGGGGGGGGGCAGGGGGGGGGGGGGGGGGGGGGGGGGGGGGAATCACGTTTGTACAGTTCAAAGCAAAAGCAAAAGCAAAGGCAACCCAGAAACAAAAACTCACTGTCAGGCCACCAAGTTGAGTAACAGCATCGACGAAACGTTCATGGAGCCTGGCTGTCCATCGGAGTCGAGGCTTTGGATCCGTTGTTAGGACCAAGCAAGCATCACCAGGCAAGTTGTCCCATCAAGCGACCCCTGATAATCTCCACATTTCCATCCAACGGTAACGACCGAATAGCCGGGTACATTTCTTCTGAAACTTTTCTCGAGAAAGCGGAGGAAAATGCAGGGCAAACCAATGGGAGTAAATAAGTGGGTTTTTCCTTCTCTGCTTTCGGGTTCGGGGCACGGAGCCCCGAAATTGACAGAGAGAGAGAATAAGAAGAAGAAGAAAGGGACGCAGAAAGAGAGAGAAGAGAGAAAGAGAATTATAAAAGCGAAGTGAGTGAATTTTGAGGCATGCAGAGGTTAAGACAGCGATGTGTTGTTGTGTCTTTGTCTTTCACTTTCAACTCTCTCTCTCCCCGCTCTTTATTCAATTTATTTGTACTTATAATACAATTTTTTTATTCATAAAAATAATAAAAGAATACATCTTCTTAGTTTTTCCTCTTTTTATATGCATAGGTTTGGTGTGTATGTATACAAGTATTGTAAGATTAAGAGGGGGCCACGTGTTGTCTAGTCGGCCCATTTTTTATGTGTTTTTTTCTTTTTCTAAAGTTTTATTTATTTGATTAAATTGAGAAATGTTGCTTTAGGTCTACATAGAAATGTCAATTATGGTTATGGGGCTCAGTTTTGAGTAAGACTTGAGTTTATATAATTTTGACGTTCGACTCATTTTAAAAATAATTTCAAATTTTAATTATATTATATTTGATAGGAAATTAAATTAAATTTTAAAAATATATAATAATTAATACTTTTTAAAACTTTAAATAAATTTTTATTATTACATTACACTCAATTAAATTATTATATATATTTTTAAATCGAATAAATTTTTATTTACTAAATATTACTAATCAAAATATCAATTGATTTTTTTTTTGGCATTCACATTTTTATTTAATTAATTTTTTTTTATTATTCTTTCGTTGATCAGTGGCAACGCTTTTTGATAATAATTTCTTTATCTAACTTTTGGCAAGGCATCCGCTGAAGCACTTTTTTTTTTTAGTAATGTGCTGATCGAACAATTATAGAAGGAAGCCAAAAGATTTCTTAATAAAATAAAGCTTACATAGACAGCCACTTGCTCTCCTTCTTATCACTCTGTGCCCTTCGCTTTTTCCCCCAGTAAATCTTGCTACATTACTAATCTACTATTCCAAAAGGAAAAAGAAGATCGTTGGACTAAGTTCATCATTGATATTAGCGGGAGTTTTGGTAGTGATTAAGGATAATTTATTATTTGTCACTGTTAGTCATTTGAGTCTCGAGCACTGTTTTAATTTGAAAAATATATATGATAAATGAAAAAAGATTTTATGTTTATATAATCAAATTCATCTCATATTTTACTTATAGAAGATTTATTATACAACATCTTTATTACACTGATTCTTTATTAATAGAAAAGAACTCTTATAATCATTGTGTATTGATTCTTTACTTATAAAAAAAAGAGATTCTTACACTAATAAATGTTTATTTATATATTTTAATTTAAATTTATTTTAATAGCACTTGTTATAGATTTATATTTTTAATTTAAAAAATATATATAGTAAATTAAAAATAAAATCTATACTTATACACTCAAAATCCTTCATACGAGATTGGTGACGCTAAGACTTCCATTCTTCACTTGCAAAATTCAGGTTGCTTGGCCTCATACGCTTTTACACTGTTAGAGACGAAAAGAGTAAGATTCTTACTTTGTCTTGGCATGTAAACAAGACTTCAAAGTCTTAAGTAACAACACAAAAATCGAATCGAATCTTGATAGAGCAAGTCCTTCGCCTACTATTAAAAATTTTTGATAGAGCAAGACTCATTTTAAAAATGATTAGTTCGGTTAATTCGATTATTGGATATTCAATAATCGAATTAACTGAATTGGTATTTAAAAATAACAGAAACCGAATCGAGGTATATAACCGAATTAATCAAATTTTTATTTAAAAATAACAGAAACTGAACCAAAGTATATAACTAACCAAAACCAAACTAATTCGGTTAGTTCGGTTCGGTTTTAAAAAACCGAACTTAACAAATTTTTTTGTTTGTATATATTTATTTATGTTATATTTTTTTAAATAAATCAATGTTACAAAATATTAAAAATGATCTTAAAAAATTCTAATAAATAAAATAAATACTTTTCTTTCAATTTATGTATAATAATATTTTTAATCAAAATATCATATACAAGTAAATTTTTTTAAAATAAATACCTTTATTTAGATTCGATTAGAATTTTTCCTAACCGAAATCGAATCGAAATAATTTTATTAACCGAAATAACCGAATAACCGAACTAATTAAATCGAAAAAAATGAACTCATTTTAGTTCGATTCGGTTGTTCGATTTGATTTCTATTTGCTCACCCCTATCTGAAGTATCCTGGGATTCAATTACCATAACTTGCAGCTGTATTACTGTCATGGATATAACAAACGCACAAGCTCATCAGAGGTTCGATTTAAACAAAGTCCACCCACCCTATTTCATAGTTGCATATTTTTGGAATTTTTTATTTTGGGAGTTAGGGGTGGTCAATCAGTTCAACCCTTTTTTGATCAGCTCAATAGCAAATCATTGAAACCGTTGAATTCGAATATGATTTCCTCTCATAAAATCACTCCCTGTTTCCAACATTTATAACCAAATAAAACCCAAGGAATATGGAAGTTGCGGACTAGCAGGGTTAGACCCTTACCGACCTGCATTAATTTGTAAACCAGGATCAAGATCCATGACCCAAATTGGTTTCAGGAATAACAACGTTTTCCCCTGTTCCTAAGTTCCTACTCCTGTCAGATGGAAAAACATACACATACTACACCCACGGGTAGATATTGGTTGTTTGAATGAATAGAATTGTGCAGATAGTATCAAATATATTCACCAGTAATCCCCTCCAAAATTCATTTAGTAAGATTAGCACTATCTGCCATTCCTTCTTTCGATCGTTTCTCTCGCAAAGTGTTCTAGCCATCCTAGAAACGAGCATGCGGAACCATGTGCCCTGGTTCCTGTGGGTGGGTGGATAAGGGAACGGAAGACAAAGCCAGTCCAAGGGGATAGGAGGCCAGAAAACCAAGGGCGGCTAGTTTGAGGCCCCACCAATGTGTAAACAGCACGGTGCTAAGAGAAGCTCCAGGCGAAGGAGAGGAAGAGGGCATGCTGACAACAACTTTCAGACAAAAAGTCTAGCAGTTTTCCCAATAATAGTGACTGCAGTGGGGTTGCTTTGTTTTGTGTTGTTGACAAGACCACCTCCTCCTCTTCTCTCTGTCTCTCTCTCTCTCAACTTTGCAATTGCTGCAGCACAACGAAATGACATCACAACAATATTAACTTTACCGAGAGCTTTATGCATTTATTGCAGGGAAATGTTAACAAAGTTGGGGCCTAGGTTTCTTTTCATGTTCCAGACAAAACATAGACCTGAGCTAAATTAATGCTCCAAAGTACAAACAGAGAGAATCAAATATTATCATTGCCTGCCTTGCTTCTAAGTTCTCCCCACCCTCTTTTTGGCCCTTATTTATCAAAAATATTCACAGTTTATTGTTCCTTTTTTAAAAAAAAATACACTAGGAAGAGTATGATTACAGAGTCCTCTGTCGATATAACATTTTGCAGATTTAATTTAGATCAAGTTGCTGAAGGTCTTTATTTCTTTTTCCTTTTTCTAATGACAATCCAAACCGACCCAACTTGGTGAAAAGCTGTAACTTGCAATGAAGAGATATCTCATAGAACTTTTGTTTCCTTTAATTCCTTCGGATGAAGTGTATTTACTTTGCCAGTCGAACCAAAAACATGGACCATTGCCTCAATGGCCACTTACGAAAAGTTATTTTTGACAAGGAGTCGGTTGTCAACAAAGTAATCACTTGAACAAAAGTGGAACCAAGCATAGCTTATTTGGGGTAATATAATATGTTCTATAAATTATATACAATAAAATTTTTTTAATATGATTCGTATCGAAAACAATGCATTTGAGGCATGATTAGGTTTGCAGGCAAGCCACCTTCCACCACCCTATTGGAAAGAGATTAAACTACTAAAACAGGATGTAGATATAATTGGGCCAAAGATAATTCACTTGTTTCTTGGTCTTATCTTTTTCAAATGGTACCAGAACATTTACATATTTTATACACATGAAGAATAGCCTATTTGTATATACACTATCTAGAAGCAAGCTGGCTAAAGACCAGGTTCTCATATATCAACCTAACTCCTTAATAATGTTTTAGCTCATTGATAGGATCAATTATTAATGGTAGCCTTATTCATGGGTTTTGACTTTTGATTTGATTGTCATCAATTAAGAAAAGCAGGGGAAGCGGAACATATTTAGTCACCTAGTTTTTTATCTAAGAAATTGTTAAGTGGGTTGATTTAAACCATTGAACATGATTTTGGGTCCCCCTCCACATTCTAAGATTTTCAGTAAAATGGAGGCTGCTCTCTCTCGTGTTCTTTATGGAAACCCTTGGTCTGGGACTGTTTCTAAATTATGGCACTCAAGAATTGAAGTCAACCTATTGGAGAGGACAGGACCACTCTTGAACAATTCTAGTCCTCTGGCCTAGTCCCCAACCAAAACTACTGTGGACTTTCATCACATAGGCAGACAGATATGAGCCAAAAATCAATCCACCAACCACAATTATTTAGTCAATTATAGGAATTACATGAAGACTGTGAAACCCATAGTCTCTCAGCAATTGACTTTGCATTTGAGGAATACATTCATTGCCACCCATGATCTCTTTTTCCCTTTTCTGATGTTGTCTTTCCCAACAAATAACATGAAGTTATGTTGATGTCTGCTCAAAGAACAACACTACAGCTCACAATTTTGCTGGAATATATCTATCGTACCTCATGATTCTAAAAATACTTTAATCTTGACTCTAGAGTAAGAATTAGCAGTGGTTGCAGGTGCTTGCATCACTACAGTTTGAAATTCTTTCAGTTCCTAGCCGGCCACCACTAAAATATATATATATATATATATATATATATGTTTGTCAAAGCAAATATCAGATACAATCCTTTCCTTCCCTTGGCCTTCCAAAGGGAATACGCCAGGGTACTTGTTCATGTGAAATGTGGGATGCTGCAGTTCAAAGTTATCTTTCTAGCTGCAGCAAGAATACAGCCATTAGTTGCCAATTTTGAAGCCAAAAAACAATTAAGTCCAGATGTGTCACATGGCACAGTTGATTATCAATCCACCCTTAGCTAATAAATCAACTGCCCTTGATGAGTATTAAATTAAGAAAGAATCAAAAAAATAAATAAATAAAAGAAGATGGAAAGGAAAGGATTTCAGGCAAAAAAGTAAGCTTTAAGCATACAAAGCCAACCATTATTTTAATCACCCAATGGACATCTTTGGATAGAATCATATGTATCTGTTCTATGCGTGGATTTGTTTATGACTAAGGAAAGAGTAAATAATTAAAGGCCCCATACACCTTTCTTTTATCTCCTATCATTATTTTAGTTAGTTATTTCCTTCATAAATAATACTCAGTCTACTTAAATGATCCTTCTTGCACATACACCATTCAACAATACAATGTATAGAATAAATACTTATAAAATAGATGAAATTCTTGGAAATATATGTCTGGTGATTGAATTTTGCATATCTTAGTCTTTTTATGTTTTCTTGTCACAATTAAATGAAGGGTTTTGTACTTTTTGTTCAATACAATAATGACATAGGGTACCAAAAATAAACAAGTTGCTGCAATTTGATAAAATCAACTTGCTTGCTTTTTATATGAACAGTATATTATTAATTCTTAAATAGTAAATACCTCCTCGAGGTAAAAATCCCATTGGGGTTGGAGGCCTTGCATGGTCCTTTCATAGACCATTGGTATTTCATTATCATTGAGTCGTACTCAAGTACCATACATTTTTTCTTCAAACAATGTCAAATAAACCAAGGAAGTTTGTCTTGCTAGAAAAACCCAATTCTTTCTTTTTCCTTTCTTTGTTGGTACAGCTAATTTCTTGTAGCCCATTCCTATTTCTTCTCTCATATAATACATGGATAATAATTGACAAATGGCATGGTTTCAGTAAGATTTCTAGATGTCCTCATCCACACAAACATTAGATGTTCACATAGTAGAAAGTTGACGTTGCCTCCTCCATTATGATTCTTTGAAATTCCTTGATTTGTTAGCTTAAGAACCCTGCAACTCAATAATGTAATTCAGAACCTAATTAGTACTTTATTTAAGGAAGCATGTACTGTTCTTCGTTGTCAAGGAATGTCTAATCTTGATCTTTCATATCTATTGAGATTATTACTTTCCTCTATTAAGGAAACATGTACAGTAAAATTCCTATGAATATGCCCCATAAAGAGGTGCCTGGCAATGGAACCCGAGTTTCGCTTCTGTTTGCATAGACAAGTGAGACCAATCCGAGATGGCATTTAGGCCCAATTAGTGATATCACAGGCCGAGTGTATCTTCTCACAGCCTCCTTCCATTTTATATTATTAAAATCATAAAAACGGAAGAAAGTGGGAGAAGGGGAGGAGGGTTTAAGGAGTCCCACTCCCCAATCAAAAACCCTGAGCAATGCTAAGCTAAAATTTTCAGTTTCTTCAACAAAGAATACCACCAGGCTCAAGTCATGCTCTCTCGTTCGCACACAAAAAAAAAGCTTCTTCCTTTCATATTCAGCAAGCTTAAAGGTTCTCTCTTTCTCTCTCTCTCTCAAGTGTAATTTACAGGTTTGCATTTTCTCTTAACTCTTTATTTATTTCTCTCAAGTTACAACAAATGAGCCCTTTACTTCACCATTTCAAGCTCTCTTCTCCACCCACATTGTTGGAGAGAAACCCATTCTTGTAAGTAATTTTCACTTCCTCTTCACTTTCAATTCCAGGGTTTTTCTTTTTCTTTCACTTTGTTTTGATATTTTATTAGTATTATTGCATTGTGCTAATTGCATTCAACTTTGTTTGTTGTCATTTCATTGTTTATTGTACTCTCTAAATGGGATTTTTCCTTTTACTTGGTTGCTTTGTGCTGTTTTGCAGTCGAAAGCTTCATCATTTGAATTGCTTTGATTGTAATTTATGTAACTTTGGTTGATGGGTTGAATTTTGTTTATTAAATTGCGTTAGGTTAGGGATTTCATACATAGGGCATTGTACGATCCGAAACATGGGTACTTCTCACAAAGGTCAGGTTCAGTTGGTGTGCTCGAGAGGAGCATAAAGTTCAACCAACTTGAAGGTATTTTTGGAAGTTTTGGGATTTTGTTGACTGTAAGCTCTTTGAGATGTAATTTTTTGGTTGTTTGTCATTGGATTGCTGGTGATTTTTGAATATAATGATGGGGATAGTTAAGATACCAGACACCAACAGATTAAAAAAAAAGAAAAAGGCTATTCATCAAAGGATATGATTTATGGAAGCAGCTTTTAAGACTTCAATACTGATCACTTATTAGCTTGATTTAGTTGCATTACTTTGCACGGGCCATCAAATTTATGCTCATAGGATCTATGCTGTGCTTCTTTTTTTTGTTTCAAAGGCTGTGCTTTTATATAATATGTATATATATATATATATATATATATACTTTTTCATAATCCACCATTACAAAGAAATGCAAAAACTACAATAGATCACTGTTATAAGTGAAGTAGATGTGGTCCTTAAAAAATTTATTTGTGGATGCTCTTTTATTGTAGGCTATATTGCTAATGCTAGCACCAAACTTTTGGCATGTTTTAGGAAGGAAAGCTTATATGAAACACTTGGATAAAATATATAAGCAGAGTGGCATTGCATGGTTCACCCCTGTGGAGCTTTTTAAGGTAACCCACTTGCAGTAACAACCATAACATTACTGGCACTGGAGCAAGGCCTACTTATTCATTTATTTCTTTTATTTTATTTCAAGAAAGAAGCTTAGTCTTCTCAGTATTACAGCATGTATTGTGGTGTCACATTGCTCATGCTACTTTTCCTGTTAATGTAGAATATGATTTTTATGGGTTTTATATGCCCCTTTTCACTTTTTCTTGTGTTCTTTTAGACTGTTGAGATTAAAAATACTTGAAGAGATATGATATCTTTTTATTATGGCTTTTATGCCAATAAAGGTCTCTAATTGATGCAATCATGTATGGATTAGATTTTTATTGAAATAAAATATTAAGGAAATTGTTCTTTCTAGTCCCTGGCTTCAAGAAGACCAGTCCTTTGGCTATGTAATTTACATGTGCCTTCATATTAAAATAGCAGTTTGACTTACTAATAAACATCACACATGAGATGGTTTTGCAGCTAAGACATTGAATTCTTTGCATGTATTCTTGAGTTTAAGGTGACCATAGGAGTATGAGCCGGGAAATACACATTGATTTATGTTTTATTTGATTTTCTCTGCGTCCTGCGATATGATGGTTACTTCTGATTGCTCTCTCTTTCTCTCGGTATACATGAATGCAAGCATGTTGATGTGTAGGTGGACGTTTTTCGGACGTGTGAGTGTGTATAACCACTTGTGTATTGTTGATCTCTTCTTCTTCATGGCCATTAAACTATTAATTTAAGCTTCATTTATGGCAAAACTGCTAACTCCTTTTTCACTGCAGGAGCAGTGTTGGGGTATTTTTTTTTCTTTTTTATTTGTTGATGTTGTGAGCTTTGTCTTCTTGTAGCCATGGTATGCCCAAGGAATTGCTGAAGCCATAATGCGTACAGCAAACCTTTCAGTTCCACTAAAAGTGAGTTTCCTGTGTCTCTTTGTATTGGAAAACATACAAGCTGTCAGTTTTTATTCTTTGAGCTTCCATTTGTTTTAATCTATTGGACCTATTTAAATATTTTTGTTAGAAAAACTGTTGTATGATTTTTAGGGGAAATCGCTATTTCTCAATTGTGGATTATGATAACTTTCTATAGTGATCTTGATAGTATGCATGTTACTACCATAGATAAAGGGATTGCTTGTGTTGAAAAGTAGAACTTGTAAATTTCTGGTATAAATTTTGGACTGTATGCTTTGGGACTCTGGGTTTGCTTCTAATTTCTCTTTGAATCCTCCTGAGTTAATGATTGGGTACAAAACATTGAGCTGCCCTCATTCACAGTTTCATTTGGCAAATAGAAATTGAGAAAGTAGCCAGAAGATGCCAAACTTGTGGAAACCAAGTCATATTTCAAGATCCTAATATGTTTATCTAACTATGTGTGTTTTGTAGATTATAGAACCTAAACTACTTGTGTTTCCTAAGCACAATGATGGTTTGCAGAGCCTCAGAAGCTATGATTTCTTAAGAGGCCCTTAGTATTCATGTGCAAGCTAGGGTTATGGTACAGGTGAACAAATAGTTCTTGCAAAGGTGCAGTATCATAGTTTTACAAGGGAAATAATCTACATTCTGAAACAAAAAGATGAGTTTTTGTCACTTTATATCTGTTGCGCTTATCAGTGGTTATCTGGTATTGCATTAATCAAACTATGTTTGAAAAGATTTTGGATTGTTAATTATATTTGATCTTGTTGTACTCCGAGGATTAGCCATTCATGTCTGGTATCCTCTATCGTAGTGTACATGACAACCACCTTGTTTTTGTATGACATCTACAAAAAGTAGACCTACAAAATGTAGACTCTGTTTGAATTGTTTATCTACATAAATATGCATCTTTTTGCCAATTTGTAACTCTGTAACTAGTGGTGATATTTTGATTCAGCCATAAATTTTGGGAATCATTGTTTATTTATGGATATAAACTTAATTTTTTAATCGATTAAACTTAAAACTTGATTCTGCTTCTTGTTATGTGTGCTCAGATATATGAAATTGGTGGTGGATCTGGAACTTGTGCAAAGGGAATAATGGATTACATAATGTTGAATGCACCTCCAAGAGTTTACAACAGTATGACATACACGTACGCATGTTAATTATACCTTTATTTAGCATGACAAACCCTAACTTCTTAGCATCTGATTGCTTATTGTTCATGCATTTTTCTAATAAAAGCTAACCACGTTAGCTTTTGTATCTGTTGCCATATGTTTACCTTTTTGGTAAGATGTATTTTGTACTAATTGAATAATTACTTTGTCTCTATTTATTTTGGACATGCTGATGGCCTGCATCCATGAATTTCTTGTTATCGTTGTTTTCATTATTTTAACACTGTGTTCAATCATGTTAAGTTCTCTGTTTCCTGCAGCTCAGTGGAAATTAGTCCTGCTTTAGCAGAGATACAAAAACAGACTGTTGGAGAAGTACATGGTCACCTATCAAAATTTAAAGTAGAACACCGCGATGCTACTGACAGAAGTGGATGGGGTAGGCCGCCTTCAGTATTGCCCTTATTTCAGTTCTATTTGAATAATTGTTAATTTTAATAGATGCATGTGATGCTAAGAATGATCCTTTTGATCTTCATGTGATTGCTTATGCTAGGTTTCTGGACTCTGAACAATGTTATTTTCAAATGTTTCTTTTAGTCTTTCAAGACTCTGAACTTGTAGAAATGGGTGATCCATTTGATTTTCATGTATCTGCATTTAAAATTACAATGTGCTGGGTAAAACAGAGAGGCAGAAGATGCCTAAGAAACCCAATGCTTGGAGAAGAGATAACCAAATTCAAGCAACTACATTGCTTCTATCAACTCCTCTACTGTAACTTACATAAAAAGAAGCAAACTTCCATCATACAGTTGGCAGCTATAGGAGATCTGTTCAAATAAAGCAAGCTTAAAAATGTCAAACCCAATTATTTCTTACTGCTAACCAGAAACTCATCATCACGGACCCTAAACTCTGACATGGGATTGCTTCTTATCTATTCTACTGCTTCAAATTGGATTATATACACACTAATATGAACAGGGAAGTTTTAACACCCAAATGATTGTGGTTCATACTTAACACATTATGAATGTGTTATTTTTTCTGTTTTAATCGTAGTCCCCGTAGTATTCCTGTACTTCTTCATGCATGGTGAAGCAAAACTTCATAAAAATGAGAAGATGCTTCAAATAAGCAATAATTAGAGATACTCGCATATGTTCCAACTGCCTTGGTGCTCTCTCTCTCTCTCCAAACTGCTGTCTCACAGTCAGTATTCTGTAGTTTCTGTGATTCATTAGCCATAGAAGGGAATGAAATTTATGGCATCTGTATCGTAATATCTCATCCATGTTCTCTTAAATGATTCATTAGTGGTATGCCTCTCTTTTTAGCTGTTTCTTGGCTTATATTTTCAATCATAAAGAAATTTAAACTAGTTTTCATTTTTAACAGGAGATGTGGAGCAACAACCATGTTGGGTAATAATGCTTGAGGTATGCTTTAGCTTGGCTCAATCTTACCACATCCATGTGGCTAGTTTTTGCTACTTGAGCAATGGGTAGATAATTTAAAAGTGTTCAGTTTGCACATTTATTGCATTGATGTAAATAATAAATGATTAGGTCAAGTATTAAGAGTTAAAATGATAATAACAGGGATATGGGACTTCTTTAATTTTACTTGTCCCAAGGGTGATCAATATAAACTTATAAATGTAGGTTTTGACTAGTTGCTATGACGATGATCTTTTAGAGCTGATGGTAAGACCAGCTGATGAGAAATTGATAGTTACAAATTCCTGCTATGCCATGTGAACAGACCCTACATCTTAACCTTGTCATGCTCACTGATACCAAGCTATTTTCATGAATAAAAGAAAATGATATTTACCTACAAATTTTAGTAGTTTCTGGACAAGCTTCTATTAGAGTCCTAGTGGATCATTTTACATCCTGCATACAAAATTATATTTATATTAATGCTTTTTCCGCAGGTGCTTGATAATCTTCCGCATGATCTTATCTATTCTGAAAATCAAGTTTCCCCATGGATGGAAGTATGGGTTGAGAAACAGCTTGACAGGTATTCAGTACTCTGCAGATAATTACTGCTTCCGCATATTATATGTTACATCATGACTTTAAGAGCAAGAGAACGAGAGAGACAGAGGCAAACCCCAAACTAAACTGATGTGGGATAGCACCATTTAACCTTTTCCCCTTCACATCTTGGCCCCATTGTTATAAACTAATACATTCAAGCTACCATGTGGACAAAAAATACAGGGCAGCAGACAACTTGAACTCCAATACCATGTTTAGCATCCAACTCAAAACCATATGAAGCATCCAATTTAACAATTAGCAATAGATAGAGATGCCCAACCTATATATAAAGCCACAACATACTCTGGACAAATCAACATGTGATAAAGCCTCTTAATAGTGATATTATGTTGTGAAATAAGTCATCAAGTTCCTATTGAAATTTATTAATGTATTTTCTGTTCAAAAAATAGAATGATGAGGAATCCATTGAAATTGATCACTAAGGCATCATTGTGAAATAGTCATTCAATCTTAATTTTTAATCTACAACTTAGGCAAATGTAGAGAAATTAATCATCTTGGAGGTGATGGCGAAATAACTTCCAATCTCTTCAAATAAGCTTAATAGCTCATAACTTGTGTGTAGTGCGCTCTTAGCATGTTTGTAATGCTTTCGGCATTGTCTACTAGTTTATGTTGGTGCAAATGGGGTTAAAATGGAATTGGGTGAAAAACTTACTTACAAGCCAATAGTCACACTGCCATTTTATGTGATATAACTTTTGAGTTAAGATAGCTTTTCATTACGTGTAATAATTTTTTATTTGGAAAATGCACTAACAATCCCCCATCATTTTCAAAATTTTCAAATACCAACAACTTTGAGAATCTTGTGCATAAATGAAGGTATTCTGTAGATTTAAATCTTCACTTAGTGAGTGTGATTGGTTTTAGTCTAAATTGAGTGGTTGACCAAACATTGAATCATCGATTCTTCATTTGACTAGTTAGGTTACTAAAAACACACAAGTTTCCTTACTCATTTTGTATCTTATTTTGCTAACAAGTTTTATGACTTTGTGTTTTGCATCCATTCATGAGTACTGCTAGAGCCAAACCTTTAGCCCTTAGAAGCGGCCACACTTCCATTCACATAGGTAGCCTCTATCGGAAGTATCCTATAATTATATTACTTCAATATATACATGTTACGGGTCTATTAATAACTTTTGTTCAATCTTACCTTACACATTATGGGAACTAAGCACTAGATAGCTTAGGGTGAAAAATATAAATTAGTACTTGCAATCATCCATGTGGTAGAATGGTCAGTACCTAAGACTTGCAAATTGGCCACAAGTGTTGAGGTAAGCTCCCATCATTGGAGCTTTAGTTGATAAGCTTGAGACCCATCCCTTTTGAAGTCTTTATTACCAAGTTCTTTTTTAGACCTTTGATAAACGGATCTGATAAATTTCCATAAGACCTCACATAACTTATTATGACTATACCATCACTAATTCTTTGTCTTACAATGCAATGTCGAAGTCCACTATATCTACTCTTTCCATTATATGCTTGATTTTATGATTTTTATATCGTTGCTTCATTATCACAATGTATCAAGATTGGTGCCATTGGTTTAGCTCACAACAAAATCTTATAGAGTAAATTTCTCAACCATTTCGCTTCTGGGGTGGTAGATACTAAGGCTATAAATTCAATCGCCATGGTGGAGTTCGCTTGACAAGATTGTTTATTAGAATCCCAAGAAACAGCGTCCCCACCAATTGTAAAGACCCAACTAATCGTAGAAGTATGATTTGTTCTATTTGAGTTTAAATTAGCATCTGTATACTTTTCTAAAACCAAAAGAAAATCTAAATAACAAATACCATAATTCTTTGTACTCTTTTAAGTAATTTTGAACTCTATGAATATCATACTACTATTCTTTACTTGTATTACTTGTAAACCGGCTTAACATCCCGATCGCAAAAACAATATTCGACCTTGTACACACTATAATATACGTTTGGCATCCAATCACTCTTGCATATTCATTTTGTGCTATTGGTTTGTCTTTGTTGGGTACTAGCTCTAGATTACAATAATAAGGCGTAGATATTGGCGTACAATTTAACTTACCATACTTCATTACAATCTTATCAATGTAATGAGATGGAGATAATATTAGGCCATTATTGTCTCTCATTATTCTTATATCAAGAATGATATCCACTACACTCATATCTTTCATGTCAAAATTGTTTGAGAAGAACTTTTTTGTATCCTCCACTTGTTACAAATCAGTACCAAAGATTAATATGTCATCTACATATGGGCAAATGATGACATTTTTACCATTATGGAACTTACTATAAACATATTTGCCAGATTGATTGATCTTGTAGTTGTTAGTTACCATAACTTCATCAAACTTTTGATGCCATTTATTTAGGTGCTAGTTTTAATTCATACAAAGACTTCACAAGCTTACATACTTTCTTTTTTTGACCAAGAGAGAAAAACCCTTCAAGTTGTTCCATTTATACCTCTTCATCTAATTCACTATTTAGAAATGTAGTTTTAATATCCATTTGGTGAATTACTATTTTATGTATAGTTTCAAGTTCTATAAGCACTTCAATTGTAGCTATTTTTGTTACCGGTGCATGTGTATCAAAATAATCAATATCTTTTTTTTGTTTAAAGCCCTTTGCCACTAGCCTTGCTTTAAACTTGCCTACGATTTTATCAACTTTCATTTTTTTTTTTTGAAAATCCATTTGCAGCCTATTGACTTGGAACCTGGTGGAAGGTCTACCAACTTTCAAGTTTTATTTCCCATCATCGAGTTTATCTTATTTTTTATTGCTTCTCTCCAAAATGAAACATTTCGAGACTTCATTGCCTCTTCATAAGTTTGAGGATCACCTTCACCTTTTACATTAAAATAGTAAGGTAAGTATTTACATGTTTCTTCTCTTATACCTTTTACTAAGTATATGAAGAAATTGGATTCATACATCTTTGCTTTTCTAATTCATTTACCTCTTTGAAGCTCAATAGTTTCTTCACCATTTTTTAAAAGTTTCACTTTTTGTTACTAGTTCTTTGAGTCTTAGAATTGAATTGAACCTTGTTTCACCAAAGATATCATCCCTTGATTTTGTGACTATATTAATGGAATATGAATCATTAGGTTCTATCACTATAAAATGATATACTTTACTATGTTCAACATATTCTAAAAATATACATGCAATTCCTCTTTCGCTCTATTTTGTTTTTTAATTCTGGAACTCTTACGATGGCTCGACATCCTCAAACATTTAAATGATTAAGGTTTGGCTTTCTTTCTTTCCGTAGCTTATAAGGAGTAGTTTTACTTCTTTTGTTTAAGATTCTATGTAGTATATGGCAAGCTGTTAATAAGGTTCCGTTCCAAAATCCTTTTCCCAAATCCGAATTAGAAAGCAAAACATTAACCATTTGCGTAAGAACTCAATTCTTACGTTCCATTACACCATTTTGTTCTAGTGCATATAGAGCGGTAATTTCATGAATAATACCAGTAAACTCGAAATACTTGGGATCATAATATTCACCTCCTCTATCATTTCGTAAACATTTGATTAGCAATTCACAATGCAATTCAATTTTATTTTTATAAATTTTTAATTTCTCCATTACTTCATCTTTGGCATGTAATAAGTAAACATAATAATAACTATAGAAGTCATCTATAAATGTTCTAAAGTATTTTCTTTTACCAATAGATGGAGTACTATACGTATCACAAACATCGAAATGTATTAATGCAAGCAATTTGAAGTTTCTTTCTACCTTAGGAAATGAGCTTCTTGTGATTTTAGTAACCATGCATATCTTGCACATATCATTATTTCTATCAATATTAGATATCAATTCTAGTTTAGTCATATCATGCATTCTTCTATAATAAACATGGCCTAATCTATTATGACTTAAATTAGACAATGTTGCTTTACTATCATGAACAGTAAATGAGGTATTAATATAAGTAGAACTAGTAACAATTTTATTAATATTAAGCTTGAATATATTTTCATGTAAGTATCCATTTCTCACATATTGTTCACCTTTTGTTTGAACTTATCTACTTCAAATACTAATTTAAAATCATATTTATTCAACAAACCACCCGACACAAGATTCTTTCTAACTTATGGTACAAAATAGACGTTGTTTAGTACAAGTATTTTTCAAGAAGTAAACATGAGTTCCACAGTACCTTTTCTTTTCGCTTGTGTAGTGGAGGAAACTCTTGTACATCATAGTACATAATTTAATCATGTATAGCACGGTTCCATCATTAACTATTTCTAAAGTGTTGAAGAAACTTTTATCACTACATACATGTTTAGTTGCACCAGTGTCAATACACCATGCTCAATCATCTTGGAGAAGATTGACCTTGGAAACCATAACCACAAACTTCTTGTTGTTCACACCTTGTGTCTGGTTATTCAAAAGTTTATATTTTGTCTTGAAAGTCCAAGTTTCTTACAATGGAAACATGGCGCTTTTTTGTTCTTTTTGATCTTATAACTTTTGTCATTCATGTGAAAAAATTGAGAAAGGAAAGGATAAAGAAAAACTTAGGATAAGAATATCAGTAAAACAGAGGCTGAAAATTAAGATATATTCATAAGAATATCTTAGCCTTTTTAAAGTTCAAGTACAAGAGAGAGAAACCATAACTGAACAAGAAATTCAAACTGACAACTAATGCCACTAACAACATGTAAAGAAGAAAAGTAACAATAACTGTCTGCAAATTTGAAATCCTAAATAACTATTCCTAGTATGCAAGTTAATTCTAACACACCTCCTTGAGATTTAATTTGGTGACACCTAAATTAGATCTCATACATATAAACTGATCATTTGACAAACTCTTATTCATGTTATCAGCATATTGCTCATTTGAACTGCAGTAGCAGACTTCAATATCCAAGTTCTTCACAGCTTCTCGGATTGATTGATATT